GTACAAACTATAACATACATAAAAAAACCCACTATATTAGCATATGAAATGCTATTCATATAATCTTTTTTGACACCAATACTGGGACACTGATCTATACTCAACTTGAATTGAGGGTTTGTCAGAGTCACAACAGGCTTTGAATTCGACATACCAAAATTTTCGAGAATCTTTCGTAGGCATGCCTCTTGAGATAAGCATAATTTTGACTGCTTTCTATCTCTTCGGATGTCAATCCCAAGAATCCTGGATGCAATTCCCAGATCCTTCATGTTGAACTCCTTATTAAGTTCAACCTTCACCCTCATTACATCTTTGACATTGTTTCTTGCTATTAGAATATCATCCACATAAAGCAACAAATTAACAAATGAATTACCAGGTCGAAATATGAAGTAAACACATTTCCCGAACTAACTTCTAATGAAACTTATGCGTGCCATGAACTTATTGAATCTTCTATTCCACTGTCAAGGAGATTGTTTCAGTCCATATAAAGATCTCTTCAGCTTGCACACATAATCTTCATTCCCCTTTTCGACATACCCTTCAGGTTGCCTCATCGGGATTGTTTGATCTAGATCACCATACAAGAACGCAATCTTCACATCCATCTGTTCCAATTCAAGGTCAAAATGTGCCACTGTGACAAGCAACATTTGAATGGATTTGTGCTTCACAATAGGAGATAACACATCATTGAAGTTAACACCTTCTTTCTGAGTGAAACCCCTATCGACCAATTTTTCCTTCTATCTTTTCGATGCCACTCCTTGATTCCTTCCTTAACTTTGAAAATCCATTTACAGCTGACTAACCTGGCTCTAGCAGGTTTCTTGATCAGTTCCCAGATGTTATTATCATGAATAGATTTCATCGTATCATCTATGGCCTTCATCCATTCAGTCTTCTTTTGACTCCTCATAACTTCCTTATAGTCTTTAGGTTCTTCATCGAGAACCTCACTTGCAGAGATTAAGGCGTAAGCTATAAAATCTGCATACCCAAGTCTCTAAGGTGGCTTGATGACTCTCCTCGACCTGTCTCTTACTAGCAGGTAGTCACTATCAGTCTCTTCATCTTTGACAACAGTTTCTGCTTCTTCTTCGACTTCATATGGGGTACGCAATTCAACATCAACGTGATCCACCTCAACAAGAATCTCTCCCTATTCCAGCTCTTCGTCAGCATCATCAATTTTCTTGAAAGCCATCTCTGCTTCATTGAAAACTACATCTCTACTGGTGATACACCTCCTGTGACCTGGCTCTAGGCACCATAACCTATAAGCTTTGACTCCTTTAGGGTATCCCATAAACATGCATTTCAAGGCTCTAGGTTCGACCTTGTCTTGCCTAATGTGAGCATAGGCTATGCAGCCAAATACTCCCAGGTTGTCGAGACTAGGTGGATATTCCGACCAAACTTATCAGGTGTCTTTATATCTAACGCAGTTGAAGGACATCTGTTTATCATATATGTTGCTGTCGAAACAACCTCAGCCCAAAACACCTTATTTAACCCAACACTTGTCAACATGTATCTAACTATTTCCAAAACACTTTGGTTAAACCTTTCTGCCAAACCACTTTGTTGTGGAGTCCCTGCAGTAGTTTTGTGCCTTGCAATACCTGAGGCAACACAAGAACTGCCGAACGCCTCATTGCAAAATTCAAGGCCATTGTCGGTTCTCAACCTCTTGACCTTTCTGCCAGACTGATTTTCGACCAGAGTCTTCCAACCTTTGAAATTCTTAAAAGTTTCATCCTTAGTCTTCTGGATGAATACCCATAACTTCCTGGAATAATCATCAACTATGGATAGAAAATACATCGCTCCTGAATGTGATGGGCACCTTGTAGGCCCCCAAAGATCAGCATGGATGTAATCAAGGGATCCATGAGTTCTTTGTTTGCCTTTGTTGAAATCCACTCTGCAAGATTTTCCAAGTACACAAGATTCACAAAATTTCAGCTTTTCGACTTTGTCTTCTCCAAGCAGATTTTGTTTCCCTAATTCGACTAGACCCCTTTCACTGACATGACCCAATGTCATGTGCCAAATTTCTGCTTTCGACAAAGGTTTCGTGGATGCAACATTTGTCGAACCACTTACAACTTCAGCCTTAAGGGTATACAAGCCTTGTTTCTTCACGTCTCTCAAGACTTCCTTCGACCCCTTCATGACTCTTAGGATACTTTTCTCTCCTTGAAAAGCATATCCCTTTCTGTCGAATTCACCAAGAGAATTCAAATTTCTCTTTAAATAAGGTATATACTTGACTTCAGTCAATAACCTTATTGACTTATCATGGAGCTTGAATCTTACAGATCAAATGCCTGCAATTTTGCAAGATTTGTTGTTTTCCAGCAACACTGGTCCACCATCTTGATCATATAGCTCATTGAATAATTCTTTGTTTGGAGTCATGTGCCAAGTACAACTTGAATCCATAATCCACTCCTTTCTTGAGTCGCCGCTTAAACCACAAGAGCATCAGATGATTCGAAGTCATCTTGAACTATGGCTGCATTGCCATTATCTTTACCTCCATGATCTTTCAGGCATTTAGGGCACACTTTTCTTGTGTGACCCTCCTTCTTACAGTGATAGCATCAAATACCAGATGCCTCGCCACTATAAGGCTTATGCCGACTTTTACCTTTATTCTTGTTAAACTTACCATCCTTTCGCAAGAATTTTCCCTTAGCGATTAAACCTTCACCAACCGTCGAAGGATTATGCCCCTTTCGTTTGTTTAAGTCCTTAGAGTACAAAGCTGATTGAATTTCTTCAAAGCTCAGGGACTCCCTTCCATACATGAGAGTTTCTTTGAAGTGAGCATGTGTTTTGGACAAAGCGTAGAACAACAATAGTGTTTGATCTTCATCATCAATCTTCACATCAATATTTTCAAGATCAAAGATCAGCTTGTTGAACATATCCAACTGCTTAGCCAACACTTATTTTCATTCATCTTGAATGAATACAAAGCTTGCTTCAGATAGAGTCGATTCACCAGAGATTTGGTCATGTACAAGCTTTCAAGCTTCAACCATGACCCCAATGTCGTCGTCTCCTTTGATAATTTTTGGAGAACCTTATCACCAAGGCTCAACAATATTGCGCTGTTGGATTTCTCTATCATGGTCGTCTTTTCTTTTTCCATTAATGCAACGTCTATGACTGCCTATCCCTTCAACGCTTCCAAACAACCCTGCTAAACCAGTAGGCCTTTCATCTTCAAGCGCCAGAGACCAAATTCGTTCACTCTGGTGAACTTTTCAATCTCATACTTTGTTGAAGGTATCCTCTCCACGCTCACTGCACTAATTTGTTGTGAATTAGGATGCCTTAAAATAAAATATACTCGGTTTCTTTATAGGCAAGAAACATATAAAAGTTAGGGTTAACAAAGAAAAATAAGGAAAAACAACAAGGATTTGTTATAACTACTATTCTTTACTTTCTCTATAAATTAGCTTACAAGTACTCAAGAATAACAAATAACTCTCTCACTCTAATTAGGATTTGGCAGACCACACTTAAGATGAGAGATTAATATGCTATTAATAATAAAACCTAACATACTAAGCTAATGGGTTTTTTTTAACAATTATCCATTACAAGCTAACTTAAACAATTGGATCCTTAACACAAGGCTCAATTCGACAACTACATACTAAAACACAATTCGACTATAGCATGTAGGTTTTCGACAACGTCATGTGAGCAAACTTCGACAACATGCTAACTAGAATGTGATCCAATATATCACAGATTCTTTCCCAACAGCTTTGGATACGTTAAAATATTTAATCATAATTATTGATTACTTTACAAAATAGACTAAGTCTAAACATCCAATAAAGATAATATATATGTCACAACGGCCTTCATGTTTTCAAAATAAACATCCTAGTGGTCATAATGATACAAGAAGGCATTATTCATATACAAAAGATTTTGTAATTTATTAAACAATCTACACTTAATAAAACATTTCATCGTTATGGAACATCCTCAAACAAACTACTAAAAGAACCACGCACCAACAAATTATTCAACTAAAACGATATTATTTTCAAAATAAATAAATAAAACTATTTTTTAATTAAAAATATTAAGATACTAAAGTTATGAATTAATTAAATAAAGAAATTAATTAGTATGTACTGTGTAAAAAATTTTACACAGTCAATTTATTAGCATCATTCATTTAAATTATTTTATAAATAATTAAAATAAAAATCAAATTCTTTTTAATATTTGACATATAATTAAATGACAGTGTAAATTTTTTTTAAAAAAACGATGTATTTCAATTAAATTTTTAAATAAAACAACAAACCAAAAATTAGTTTATCTTATCATGAACTTACTGACCGGCGCACATCGCATCCAAAGACAATTTGCCCGGTCAAACTCGGCGTCGTTTTGATTATTCCAACCTAATAATATCAAATATCTCACCATAGGTTTCAATCTTCTGCAAACGCGACTACAAAAAATTCCCCGCACCTCACCAATCACAACCTTTCATTCCTAACAAAGCAAAAAACAACAACATATAATTCACGAAACTTACGAGTACACACGATAATACCATACACTTTCGCACATAGGATTTTCAAATATTTTTCTTCTTGCTCTCATCATGAGTCTGAAACCTGCAAAAACAATTTTCAACATTCTCTCTCTCTTCTCTCTTTGGAACCTTCCTGGAAACCTAATCCAATATAAATTTGCGTCGTGATTGGTTTTGGGTTTGAATTCAATCATTAGGGTTAGAGGAACAAGAAGAGGGAGAGTTTCAGTTTTAAGTTTTTTTTTTAAATTTTTCCAAAAAGAGGGTTAGAGTTAAGGGTTTCCAATTTTGTTATTAAATCCTTTTGTTTCTTTGGGTACTTTGAAATTGATGCAAATTTTGGGGTTTGTGGATTGTTCCTAAATCAAATCGGAGAAAAAAATTTGATTTTTTCTTCTGGGTGTGTGGAAAAATGGGTTTGGAGATTTCTGATGAGATGTTGGGGACTTTTGCTCCACTTCTAGTTTATTGGATTTATTCTGGTGTTTACGTTGTTTTGGGGTTTTTTGCGGAAGATTATAGGTTACATACAATACAAGATGAGAATGAAAGGAATTTGGTTTCTAAGTTTGATGTTGTTAAAGGAGTTCTCCTTCAACAAGCTGTTCAAGCTGTGGTTGCAACCCTCTTATTTGCAGTAAGTTGTTTTTTATTTGAAAATTGTTTTCTAGTTTTCCTTTATTTGTGGATTGTTTCCACATTTAGATATAGTTTGAGTTAATTTCATATTGCCAAAGATGTACTCTAGGGGTTTAGTTGCTTAAGCTGTCCTATCTGGTTCCTTCATGTCATTATCACAAACAAATTGTTTTCAATACTATTACTTGATTTGTTTGTATGTTATTTATTGGTTTATTTGAATTTATCTATTGACATAAGCACAATAAGCACTTATGAGACTTTTTGAGAGAGCTTATGGAAACAACATATGAAACATTCATAAGTTTTTTACATGTTTGCATAAGCTCCCCAAGATAGCTTATGAAAATTAGTTTGTATGAAAATATTGACTTTATTTTATCTTTTGACGTGGAAATAGTTTATGCATAAGCACTTGTATGATAAACATATGTTATAACTGCTTAATTTAGTTGTTTATCTTAAGAGGATTAAGTATGTTTTGCCAAGTTGTTTAGAATTCAGATGCAAAAAGTGGATTCATTTTTTATGTTTTTGTACAATGATTTTGTTTTGGCATATGTTGCATAATTACTTATTCTTTCAAGTTTAAGTATTCAATACGTTTAGATGATGGAAATATGTTATGCACCCAAAGTAAGTTTCTTTTCCTCAAAAAGGGGAAGAAGAGCTTGGAGTACCATTGCTGAATTGGGTCGTAGTTGCTATATGCTGTTCTTCGGTTTAGTTAATTAGAAAAAAGAAATTGCGAGTTCTTGTTGACTTGTTTCTGTCAGTTTAGAGATTTTGCATTTCCTGTCTATGAAATGTTTTCAAGATAAATCTTGTGTAGAATTTTATTTTGGAATTCATTGTTTTACTATAACATCATTGTTGTCCAATTGTGGCCAAGTGTTCTGTAGCGGAGTTTAAACAAATTGTTATTGTTCTGATACACTATTTAGAACAAAGTCTTGATCAAATAGCAGTGCTATATCACCGTAACGTAGTGGAATTTGATTGAACAAACTGCTGTTTTCTGAGATCTAAGATTGACCACATATCACCCTGTAATTTGTGTTTACTTTGTGTTTGTAGGTGACAGGAAGTGATACCCAAAGTAGTACCAATGAGAATGCTTCTATTCTTGTTTTAGCAAGACAATTTGTTACTGCTATGTTGGTAATGGACACATGGCAATACTTTATGCACAGATACATGCATCAGAACAGGTTCCTATACAAGCACATTCACTCTCTACATCACAGACTCATCGTACCCTATTCGTTCGGAGCTCTTTACAATCACCCCGTAGAGGGTCTTCTTAATGACACAGTTGGTGGAGCTTTGTCTTTTCTCCTCTCTGGTATGAGTCCTCGAGCATCCATATTCTTCTTCTCCTTTGCCACCATTAAAACTGTAGATGATCACTGCGGGTTATGGCTCCCTGGAAACCCGTTCCATATGTTTTTCAATAACAACTCTGCTTACCACGACGTACACCATCAACTCTACGGCAACAAGTACAACTTCTCACAACCTTTCTTTGTTATGTGGGACAAACTATTGGGCACCTACATGCCATACTCATTGGAGAAGAGGGAAAGTGGCGGCTTTGAATCTAGACCTTGTAAAGATTTCAAGGCTGAATGAGTAATAATCTTTCTGCTTGATGAGTATTCTTTATGTGTACTAGTATTGTTTTTTCCTCACGTTTTGACGATGAGCACCGCTACCCTAATGAGAGTGATTGCGCCTGTGTATATACACATGATGTGTCCTATTCTATATTTTTCTTTCCTTAATGTTCATACTAGGTAGTTTAAATAAAGAGTATCAGGGAGCAACTGATTACAATGTGATTTTTACCCTTGTATTGCTGGCTGCTAAGCGATTATCTTGTATTCGTGCTACCCTATATTGTTTAACTTGCTTCCAGTGTTGTCAAATAGAAGGTACTATAATGTTGTAGAAATTGAACAAATCTCTATTCTTCTGTGATGTGCTATTTACCTATAGTATTGTAACATAGTGGGATATAAACAAACTGTTATTTTCTGCTATCTGGAATTTGCACTTGACTAGTGACACCACTGGTTATATGGCGGAATGGCATGGCAGACTTTGGAAACTGCCATAGAGAATTTGTCAAGGGAACTTGCCTTGGCTGTTCCATAGGTCGCAATAGTGTCTAGACTTTAGCCATATTCTGTCATCGACAATACTGCTGCAACTTCGATGTTATTATTGTAAATGTAATCGGACATTGTATCTGTTTCTATTCTATTTTATAAAGAGATTTATGTCGAAAACTTAATTCGTTGTTGTAACAGTTAATATGTTTGGTTTATTAAAAATATAATTAATTTTTTAAAATTGGTTTTACTTGAAATTAAAACGGATTATACTCGGTGTTTGAATTCCGTTGTGATTTTTATATGAACGCAAATCTGATATTTGTTGTAGTTTCGAACAGGCATTGCAAAAATTTCTTAGGCTTTTAGTTCTTGTATCTCATTTCTCAAGCTATGGAACTGTCAACGTGATTGTCACCAATTTAGTAAGTATATATTAACAACAATATTCTTGTATCTAGAATAGAGTATCTCGCTAAGCGGTGGAAGCTAAATATTGTTTCACTTAAACAGGAAGAAAAACAAACAAAATTGTTGTAGAAAAAACAAGAAATACAACAAAATTATGTGCAACAAGATCTTAACAATATTTTTTGAATGACAGATAATATTATATAGAAAAGGGGTGAATAAATCACCAAAGTACTCAAGTACAACAAGAATGGACACAACACAAGAAGTGTCTGAATGAACAAAAATAGAAGATATCTCAAGTTTTTGGTGTGACTTTTTTTTTCTTCCAAAATTATCCTTATTTAATTGTAATATTTCCATAATTATCTATGCAGTTTGTTTTAATTACAATCATGTATGAGTAAGAATCTCAACCGTTCAACCAAAACGAAAACCACCGTACACAGACATTTAAGTGTGAAACAACTGCTCTTCATTTCAATAGCAAAACAAAAGTAATTACAAAACTTGGTAGAGAATCCTGAATAACAATGGAGTAGACTCTTATCATTTTTTTTTCTTTTTTTTCTTATCTATATATTATCCTTTCTTTTCTCCATCCCTCTAATCTATTTTTTTTCTTCATGTTTTCACTTTTTAATTTTCTTTTAGATATGTTCTTAAACATGATAAGGTCAAAAAAATATAAATCATTTAATATTATCACTTTTGTATATGTTCGTGTATGTTTTATTGGTTTATTCAATTTAGTTTAATTTTGTTTTATTCTAATGTGTAGCTTTTGATTTTAGTGTCCGAGTAAAAATGCATTGCTCTAATTTTACAGGTTTTGATGAGATTGTCATTTTTCTGTGACTAATAATTTAAGAATCATATATATTTTCATCATTTTAGTGTTAATTTAGGAATCATATATATTTTCACCATTTTAGTGTTAATTTAGGAAATCATATATATTCTCACCATTTTAGTGTTAATTTAATAATCATACATATATTTTCACCATTTTCACAATTACTCAGTTTCTTTCTTGGTCAATCTCTACCTTTTCTCCTTCTGCATTTTTCATTCGGTTTTCACAATTACTCAGTGTCAATCTCTGTTATGGTTAGTTTTATGCATTTTCATTTTGTAGGATAAGCGGATAATGTCACAATAAAACCATGGCAAAGATCAAAAAGGTTGATGATTAATTTGTGGACATAAGTGAAGTTAATATTTGTTTTGGTGAACATGGTAATATGTTTTGATATGTTAGAATGCATTAAATAGTATTAGAATTGACCATTAAAATCTTTTTATGAAATTGAATGCATTTTTCTATTTTTTTTTTTTAAAATTTCCCTTACAAATTGTAACTGCTTCTAACATTATTAACTATTGAAACTTAAACTGCATAACTCTACCATTTTAGATGCACGACATTTGTTTCCATGTCTTTCTTTTCCAAACCCATGATAATAGTAACTTAATGTCACTGTAAATCATTTTTGGAGGTTTGGATGCTATATATATTTTTCAATTTCACATCAACTGAAGGCATAGATTATATATTCTGCATTGTTCAAATTATTTGTGCTTTCCTTCTCCACACATGTAAGTCATGTTTGTTTATCTATAGATTAGGTGTGGTCTGTGTCAATTTGGATGCTATATTCACCAAAGTATGATATGAGAACTAACCATTTACCATTGATGTCTATGAGGTGAATTAAATTTAATTGAATTGCGTTGCAGAAAATAGTTTTGATTTGATATTACAGGAAGTGATTGAACAAGAAAATTTATGAGAAATCATCTTTTGATGATATATCGGTTTTCGATGAATTATTTTTGCAATGATAGTTCATGGATACCCAATTTAACCACAATACCACTGGGAAAATGTAAGAAAAAATATAATATAGAGATAATTGATTATATTTATTGCATTAAATTATGTGTCTACAATATACACAATAAAAGGAGTTGTATTATATCTTCTCATACAGTTTTTCTTTTAATTATAGGGATTGCTACAACTATTTATTAAAATAAGACCTACAATTTACCAATATCGAAGGTTACGAGGAAAAAAGAAAGTATGTTTTTGTTATCCTTAAGGGTATTTATTAAGAAAAAAGGTAAGCTTTTGCTTGCTACCCTTAACAATAGTAGTTATTACATAAGACCCTCACTATTTTTTCCTACAAGTACAAGTAGTAGTTACAAACATGTTTTGTATTATATCAAAAAGACAAAGGTAAAATGGTTCATTGTATCCTTTTATATCTATTAATCATTTAAGAAGAGAGCGAAAACTTAGAAAATATTAGAAACTTTCTTATTCTTGCTCAGTAGACAATAATATTTTCGTAGTTTAATTATCATCAGTTGTCTTTATGGTATATTGTTATTAGTTTTTAAAACTTCTATTATTTTTACTGTACTTTTTATTCTATTAATTATTATTATTTTGGTTTTTTGTTTAATTCTTTTCTATTCCCTTCTTATTTCCTTTTTTTTTTTTCTGAATTTTTAATATAGTTTAATCTTTTTTTTTCTTTATATGTTACGAAGGAGTTGTTCATATTGTTGAGGTATTTTTCAATACATTTTTTTTACCCTCTATCTATTATATTTTTTTAAAAACTTTTTTACTATTGTGTATTTCAATTCTTTTTTTTTTTTTTTTTAATTATATATTTTTATAGTTTATACAATAATGAGAAAGAGATGGAAATTTTCAGATTCTTTAGGAATTTAAGAATTGTGATGCAATTTTCATGAAGTTGAATTTTAAATATGAGATTTCCTTTCATTTATGAGATTAAAATTAGTTTAATTATGTTAGAATAGAAAAAGAAGTTTAAAATGTGAGGTGATCATTAGTATAAAATAAAACCATCATCATATAATAAAGATTAAAAAATAAGTCATTTATGTGCTAATCATAAATATAAAATAATGACAATGATTCATTGTAGTAATAGTTTTTTTTTATAACAATCTTTTTTTTTCTTTAACAATTATATTAAAGTTTTAATTGACAAGATTGAAATAGTATAAAGATCAAGACTATGATTTTTTAACCAAATCATCCTTCACTAAATGTTTTGTATATTTAATGTATAGAGTCAATGTTAATCTAATATTTTCATGTCTAAAACAAACTTTTTAGAAATATTTTCTTTTACAAGTATATATACATGAATATTTATTTTAGAGACATATATGAATATTTATATGTGAGAGAGACGGAGATAGAGTCTAAATAATATCAGTATCTTTAGAAAACATATGTTTTTTTTAATAAATAAAGTAATATTATTCATAAAGGTATTAGGGATATCCTAACCCATTTACAAAGTTCATCATATTCTATATCCTCCTAGATACAAAAAGATACAACAACGTCTGTAATACTGAGTGTGAGAGATGATGAAGAGAGTGTACCTACAACGCAATCTGATGCTAAAGTAAGAATTGGGAAAAAAGAGTACAAGTACAGAGTATGTGTATATTAGGATGAATATTGAATATATCTGAACCTCTCAAATGAGAGGGTTTTTATAGAGCCACCAGCACTTTGCCATTTTTTTTAATTATAAACAATATATTTTGTTTAATTTTAATTTTAATATTAATTATTTATATGATAAAAAATGTAACATATATTTATATTTTTTGTTTACGAAATATTTATATGATTGAGGAACATTTTATGGTATAACTGATAAAATAGGAAAACAAGAGACCTAAAATTAAAGTATTAAGGTTTTATAGATTTCCAATTCAATTTATATCAATGTTTGGTCTCTATGATTAAAATATGAGAACAAAGAAAATGTACTGACAGTGTACTATTTTTAAACCCTAAAAATATATATTAACATCTATGTTTTATGTCATAACCAAATTATAAATACTCTCTCTTTACCTGAAATGATATATCATTTTCGTCTAATATACTTTTTGAAGAACTAATAGAGCAATAAGGATTTTTTTTAAAGCTAATGAACCAAAATAAATTTTGAAATCAAATGTATGATTAAAAAGATATTAAATATTTCATTTAAAATAGAAAAAAGTATTTTATAGAGAGATATTTCAGGATGTATTTGT